AAATTTGGAGAAAGAAAAATCTTAACCGAAAACACAAGCCATCAACTCTAAATTTGGAGTTAAAATAAATAACTAATAGATTATTTATTGCATAAGTTTGTTTTAAAATAATTTAGGGGGGAAAAAAAAAATTAGTACTATACAGAAAATAAGAAGCGGAGAGAAAAATAGTACCCTAACTTGGGTAGGAAAAAGAAACGTAAGAGAAGAACCAAATTTTAACTTAAAAGACTTAAGAGAGCTGAAAAGGACATAGTAGGATGCTCAAACGTGCTTCTTCATCTCTTTTTTCACTAGTGAAAATTTACTGATTTTTCTAATTATGACAAAAAACATTTTTTTTTTTTTTTGCAATTTTGGGGGGGGGGGGGGGGGGGGGGGGGGGGATTCCATATTAGAGAAATATGTAGATAAAAAATCAATAAAACAAAATTAGTGTGGAGCAACTGCTTCTTAATATGACATTTTATTTTATATTAGGCCGTGTTTGTTTTGACGTAAAATATTTGAAAATATTTTTTTTGTTTTTAATTATTCAGCAGAAGTCTAGGTTGAGTCCATCGACAGGACGCGTAAAATAAAAAATATTTTACATCCAAACAAATGAAGGCTAAATGTAAATTAATTAAAAAAATGCTTCTTGGGCCAACCATTCCAACCAAAACAATGGGATGGCATTCAAGTGGGACGATTGGGCTAACCATTTAAGTCGGAATGGTGGGCTTGTAAAGCACAATTAGCCATTCAATTAATAATTGCAATTAAATATAGAAATTTGAATAAGAGTTGTGATATGGAGATGTACTTTTAAAGCCCAATTAGAGATGGGGTTTGGGCCCATTTAGCTTTCAGAGTTTGAAGTCCAAATCTTTATTGTTTGAATAAAGAAAGTAGAAAAGTGTAAAAGTTTTGCTAATAAATGCATGTTACGATGGTCCTAATAGATGTAAAATCAAATACAAAGATTAAAAAGAATATAGAAACTAATGGAAGGTCTCTAATTTACGGAGTAATATATATAACCTATTGCATGAAAGTTTGAAACATGCTGTGTGTGGTTGCATGAAAGTTAGATGTAAGGGTACAAAGTTTGGTAGTAGCTTAAAAACTAAAAATATATTAACTAGCATGCTGCCCAAATTTTCTTCTACAACACAAGTTTATTGTAAACGAATTTACTGAAAATTTTCATTATAGTTTTAGACCAAGAAACATTTTCTATATTCTAAAATTTAATGGAAATCGTATCTCATTTTAAGATACTGAGTGCTTAATTTTTGGCAAATACTTTTTTTGGATAACTGAGCCTGCACAAATTTTAAGAGCAGAGTTTTTCATTTTTTTTAGTAAGCTGACTTCGCTTTCTAAAATAATTGGTTTCACTCAAATTCATGGAGAATTAAAATCTTCATATTTCACAACATGTGGAGAGATAATGACATAGTTGATTGGGTTTTAATTTAATTTTTAACTGGAGGTTTACATTTTGAATTAAAAATTATTAAATACGTAGTCAATGAAATAACAAGCCTTTAAGAATTAGAATTATTTTAATTCGAAATAAACCCTAAAATTGGTACAGTGCTGCAAATTTACATGACTTTTTTTTCCTTGGGCAAATTTTTTTAGTAAATTGTTTTCATGATTGGTTAAAATTAATTAGGACAACTTTTCACTAATTTTATGGAGCTCAAAAGGGGCAGTAGCGGCAATGAGAACAAGAAATAGCACACGAATGATGCAAAACTAACAGTCACAATCAACAAAAATCATAAAAAAATTCATGTATATGTCAGTTAAAAAATAAAAGAAAAAAAGAAATTGTGGTAGCATAAATCAAGTACAGACCTGTTTTATCCATTCTATTTTTAAATATTTCTATAGTTAGATTTTAATTACTATCACAGTGAATCAGATTTTATTTAGAAAGTAATGAGAAAATTCATATTCAAATTTATTTAGCATGACACATGAATGCTTCATGTCTGTCTGAGAGTGAGAGTGGTGCATATATATATATATATATATATATATATATATATATATATATATATTGTCTAGACAAGTGTCTCCTAATTGAATATGTGTGCTATGAAGACATAAAGCTCTTGTTGGCGGCGTATCCAAATTTCACTCTCTCGTGGGCTCCTTGATCCTCAAACAAACCAGCCCATCCCCTTAGTAAATGGGCTTTGAGGAATAGGTCTAGTGACCTTGAGTGGGACACTTGGCCCACATGGCTCATTTCTGCCATTGATTCTTATTTTCTTGTTTTGCCATACTTTCTTATTCTCTTTGCATCTTGTCAGGGAAAAAGAAATGGTAAATTAAAAATATTGAACTTTGAATTTTATTTTCGTAAATAAGAAATATTATAGTTTATATAAGTGGTACTAGTTTGTATTTTTTTTTTTTTTGGAAATAAACTCACACACTCACATACAAGACTTGAACCCTCTATAATTATATTTGGAATGTGAAGAAGTACCATTAGGCTACACAGCCCTTGGTAAGTGTAATAGAATTTGCTTTTAATTTACTAAAAAAATTTGTAGTTACCAAAGCATAAAAATAATTTATTCTAATTTATTTCAACAAAATAATAATTATAATAATAAAGCAGAATTATAATGTTTTAAGAAAAAAAATAGGATCCTAAATTTAACTAAAATTGTACAAAAAGAGTATATTAAAATATTAAAATTAACTACTATTCCAATCATATCTACAAATTATCAAATTAGACATGCAAAATGGTAATAATATTTCCCAGCTCAAAACCAAGAACAGGAAATCAATTTTTATTCAAGAATGTCGTTTTTTAGTCCCAGAAACTTCCTAATTTGACACTAATTCCAAAATAGATATATATTCTTTTAAGAAGAAAACAAAGTGGGTAGTAGATATTGATGAGATGATATAATTTGTTAATAGGTAATAAGTTAATAACATACAAACCACTCCCACCCACTTATTACTATCCCAATGGAAATTTAATTAAATGTGCGACCTTTCCTGCTAAAGGAGGAAGGAGAAATAAGCTTGTTTCATTTTCATCATACAAACCACTCCCACCCACTTATTACTGTCCCATTGGAAATTTAATTAAATGTGCGACCTTTCCTGTGAGAGGAGGAAGGAGAAATAAGTTGTTTCATTTTCATTGTTTAGTCTGTTAATCTTATATATTAATTATTAAAGAAGTGAAGTGTGCCCATAATATTATTGTTGCTTAAATGCAATTACTTTACCGCATTAGAGACTTTGTTAGTAATACCCCATAAATAAATATTACCCCCATATTAGATGTCTATATTTAGATATTGGAGTTTTTAAAGGGACATGCAATTAATGCATTGTCCCCTTTTAAAATTATCAATTTGTCCATTTTAGTTTAAATATATATAGTTACCAAGTTTTAAATTTTTTGAAAATGTAAAGGACAATGATGAAAAGATAAGTTTATTTGCTTTGACTTTTCAAAGTAGACAACTAATTTGGAATATCTAAAAATAATATAGTAGAGTACTAACATGGACAGAGGTAGTATATATATATATATTTATGGACACATATTATTATTTAGGCATTATCCTTATTTTAAATTTAGATGAGTGATTGTATTTAAAAGGAAATAGCAGAGTTATTTATTTAGTTTATTTTGGAATTTAAAAAAAGTTCTTATTTAACTCCATCACTGAATATATATATATATATATATATATATATATATATATATGTAGACTCCGTTGTATCAAGTTTTTTACCTACGCTGCGATCTCGAGGATTTTATATGTTTATCGCGGAAAAGCAAAGAAGCTTAAGCCGATTGCAATTACATTCTTGCTTTGATCTCATGTATATACTATAATCTATTATTAATCATAGAATTAATTGCCTTGTGTTAGGAATTTGATTAAGCGTACTTGATCATGTGTTGCATTAAAGCACGAATGAATTTATGTACTTTTATACCTATATTTGTGTCCATGTATATTTCTTGTACATCTTAAACTTGTTGTCTAGGGTGTAAGGAGGTACTAATGGGTGTGTGTAATCAAGCATGTATATGATATTACATCTATATCTGCACAAAGTATGATTCAATTTGACATTTTACTGTTATGGGATTGAATTATGGAATCTAGTGAATCGGTAGTATTTTATATATTTCATTTGGTCATGCTTGGTAAATTTAGTTTAATGATATTACATCTACATTTGCACTAAGTAGTGTGAATTGCTGAAAAGTGACTGATTGACTGGTGGGGGTTTAGATACTAATCTAATCTTTTATGTAGTAATTAATGAGAATGAGAAATTAGTTAGCCGACCTATAAATGATTCTATATATAGGTTATTTTAAGAATTTTATTTAGTGATTATATAGTCTGATACGTATTTTTGAAGGCACTAGAATTTGAATGTTAATTGGTGGTTTTTGGAAGTAATTATTTAATGAATGTGGGTATATGCATATAGGTTGTTTTTGAATTGTTTACTATATAATTATAAAGATGGAAAATTGATTATATATATAAATGTAGCACTGCAGGTGTGAGATTAAGTTATCATATTCACTAGATATTATAACTAGGTTGTGGGTGCAAGTGCTTTTATGTAATCATATGTAATTACGGTTATATTATATCAATAAGTCTAGGATTGTGATTCATGGACTGAGAAATTTGAGTAAAGGAGTCATGGAAGCAAATGTTTAGTTGACAGACATTAATTATGAATAGAAGTCCATGAGTTGACTGCCATAGGATTAAATAGGATTGACGGCCATGAGTTGGCCAAAAGCAATGAATTGAAAGATTAAATAGGTTCTGGGAATGATTTGATCCACATGGCTTATTTCTGCCATTGAATCTTATTTTGTCTTAGTTTTTTTTTTTTTTCTTTCTTTTTTGGTTCTCTTTTGCTTCTTGTCAGGAAAATAATAAAATAACATAAAATAAAAATAATTATAATTATAAGGTAAGTGTTGAGCATACCTTATGGTTAAACAAAGCTTGCACGAGGGTGGAAGTGTTGCATTCCCCCCTAGTTGTTGACTTCTTCTTATTGGCATAGAAACTTCTGAGCTTGGGTAGATCCTCCAACTCTATTTTCTTTAAATGGTGAAAAATAATAACTGCATCCATGCCTTCCTCGTCATCTCTTACTATTTCCTCCATGATTTCACAACCACTTATAGTTAATTCTTGGAGTTGCGAAAGACCTCCTGCAGTGGCTGAGGAGAAGAGATATATCATTAATTCACAGTACACAACTTTTAACCAACTTAATTTACTAAATGAACCAGATCCACACAGTCCATTAGGAAGATTTTCTATAACTTCCAAGTCTTTTAAATATAGTACTTCAGTTTTCTCCATCAAAATGTTAAGCTCCTTCTTCAAAGGGAAACCCACTACTTTCAACCAACTTGCTGCTGAGAGAGAAAAATTATAATTCCCGAAATCTGAAATAAACTTGCTCCCGATGGATATTTTAAAACTGATCAACGAGTTAAACAGGGGCTCATTGAGGAGCAATGACATAACATCTGGGCGATCTGGCACAGAAACTTGTAAACTAATTAAGCACTTCAATGAGTTTAGTTCATTAAGACTTGCATTGTCTTTAACCTCCCATTGGTCAAACTCATCTGGAATACACAATTCCTCAAGCTGGGATAGACTTGATATAACACCCAAGGGAATGAATTTGAGCCTGTAACAACCCCTCACATCCAACAACCGCAAACAAGTCAATTGTCCTATTTCTGGAGCCAGTTCTTTGAGATCAAAATCTTGAATGCATAGTATCTCAAGTTTTTTAAATTCCTTGAGAAAAGCTACATTCACCAATTTGCAGTTGTATAGCCGTAACATCCTAAGATTTTTAAGGGACGACGGTAGTTCCGAAATCTGCATATTACGCAATTGTAAAACTTTAAGCTTCTCCATCACTTTAAAAAAGCTACTTGGAATTTCTGATGAAAGCTTACGGAATTCCAACATTAAGGTGCATACTTCTTTACATTCTGAATCATCGGGAAGCACAAAATCATCATTGAACCTTAATGAGATTGCTTTGCATTGTTTATATTCATCCTCGTCTATCCACTTCCGGACACCAGCTTTCACTAGAAACATGGCATTTTTCTCTTCTAATGCAATCAATATCGCCACATCTCGAATGACATCGTGCATTTTGACAAAGTTTTGATTCCTGCCATTTAACAACAAGTTAGATCTCTTGAGGGTACCAATCAACGTACGTGTTCTCTGCCTTGCTTTTTCCATTGATTCTCTATCTGTGTCTCCAAGAAATCTCGTTCCCACTCCATATATTGCCAAGTCATCAATAGAAATTTCAGCATCTTCCGGAAACAAGCAGCAATGCAGAAAGCATAATTGTTGATCTTTCAGCTTCAGATACTTGTAGCTCAACTGTATGCCCGAATACAGTTTGTCTGACACTCCTGGAATATTATATGCCTTCGAATGTTTCAATTGTTCAAGTGCATTTATCCATGCATCAGTTTCTTTCTCATACCGCAACGCTGCTCCAACTGTAACTATTGCCAATGGCAAACGATCACATTCACGACACACTTCTTTAGCTACAGAATGCTGTTCACCACAGTCTGTAAAATCTCCCACCGTTTTCTTAAATAAGTCCAATGCTTCATGTTCGGACAAAACCCCAATTTCGAATTCCTTTTGAACCCCCATTCGTAGGCACTCCTCTCTCATCCGGGAGGTTAGGATAATCTTGCTGCCCTTGGGAAGATCATCCGCAGCCGGTATTCCAATGTGCTCTAACTTAATTTCGTCATTCCAAACATCATCTACCATTATAAGGATCTTTTTACCTTTTTTCAATCTATCGCATAACAGACTCTTCCTTGCATCTTTAGTGTCTTTATTTAATGTCAAATTCAAACCTTCCGCAAGCTTTTGTTGAATATCCTCCAAAATTGGATTCTGGGAGACAACTATCTTGGCGATCTCCTCGAAAAGCCTCTCTTTTTTGGCTTGTTGGGCAACTTCGTCCATCATCCTTGTCTTTCCAACACCAGGCATTCCATGTATTCCAATCCTGTATTTTGTATCATCTTTTAGTGCCTCCATGATCTCCTTAAAAATCAACTCCCTGGATTTGAAACTCTCGTAATTTATGCTGTATGTTCTGTGCCAAGTATCAGTGAGAGGAGGTCGGTGTGCAACAGTGTCAAATTTGCCGTCCTCTATAAGCTTAGTAACAACAGGCTGCTGCTTCTTTCCTTCTTTACCCAACCGATATCGCGAGCAAACATGAAGACACTTGAGATTTTGTGTGCCTTGCACTAATCTGTCCATGTCTTCTTCCATCGTCGTCAATGAGTTCTGCACTTCCTCCAGCCACCTCGAAACATTATCCTCAATGACTTCAGCATTGTTCAAGGCTGCATCAACCCTTGTTTGTACACTTGCCATGGCATCTCTAAGTTTATTAACTTCATCTTCGAGATCCTTAACGTTTCTCTTGCAGTGAACCAAATAACCAAATTGACGTCTGATGAATGCGTACAAGCTGTCTCTGATGGGCTCCAGCATCGTTACCACAACATTACTAGCAATATCGTCCCCCATTTTTAATTCTCCAGCAACCTTCAACGTCTTTCTTTTTCTTTTCTCTCTGTAAGAGACGATGCAATTCAGAAGACAATGAAATGGAAGCAACAGAAATACAGACAACTACGACTGCTATTAGAAAGTAAGAGACTTCAAGAAATTTACTTAGATGAAGCTAGCTACTAAGGTGTCTCATATCTATAAATAGACCTGACATATGTACAAATTCAGGTGTAAGAGAGAATACTTCAAATTCAACACAAAAGCTAGGAGAGCGAAAGTGAGAAATCGCACAGAGAGACAGAGACGAAATCAGATGTAAGAGAGACAATTAGAGGCAACATGAAAAAAAAAAAACCAAGGAAATGATGCAATACAAAGGTAACAGAAAGCAAATTGGAGCAACAAAAAAACATAAAACGTACCTCTGGCTTATGGATTTGTCTGGATGGAGCTAGTAAGTTGGTCTCGAATCCACAAAACACCAAGTCTGATTTTGATTTTGAATCCACAAAGCGAAGATTGACAAGATGATTCAGAGGGAAGGGGTTGCAGATGGTGAGAGAGAGAGAGAGAGAGAATGACAGACAAAAATTCAGATGTAATAGATCCAAATTAAAACAAGTAGTAAAGGAAAAAGATTAGAAGCAAAACAAAAGGACAATACCAATCAAAAAAAAAAAAAAAAGCGCAGAAATAGATACACAGAGAGCAAAAAAGTACTGTTGAAGAAATTTTAAGAAGTACCTCTTCTAGCTGATGCACTGGAAAGATCTAGTAAGTGAATTTTCTCAAATCCCCAACACTCCAAGTCTGATTCAAACTGACCCAAAAAAGAGACAGCCAAAAACAACAGATTAAGATAGTACTGAGGCATCAATTGCAGATGGAAAGAGATAGAGAGAGCAGAGATTGAGGAATTGGAGATTTAGATGCAAGAGTGAATGGCATATTCAAAAGTAAACCAGACAAAAAACAGGGGAGAATAATTAAATAAAGAAAAACAAAGACCACTTTCAAGTCATTAAATAATTAAAAAATGCTCTGCCGATGGAGGCAGTAATATTTAAAAATTATTGCAAGAGTAGGAAATGGTTTGGATTTTGTGAGCACGCGAAGAATCTTCCAGCCACTCTCTCTTTTAAAATTAGAATAGGTGCAACAACTATTGAATGTTATTTATCTTTTCAATCCTCCAGTTTTAAAAATTATTTTATGGCCCTCTCGAGTTGAGCTAAACAAATTTCTGTGAGTAAATTTTTACCTTAAAAATTTGACGTGGGAAAGTCCGATAATGAAACTAGTAAGATATAATTAAGAGAAAAAGAAAATCAAAATCCCCGTATAGTTGTAGATACTGAATACTTACTTTGCATTACCAGATATTAAAAGAAGAAGAAGAAGAAAATTTTATGATATGTGGATGCAAAATGAGAACTTACCAGAGCAAAAGAAAAAAAAAAAAAATTTCAAAAAGAATATTTTACGTTTTTTTTTATAATTAAGGTTTGGACCCCTAACTTTCTTTTGAAAAATAAGAGTTTGATATGGCTAGGTTTATTTGCAGTTGATATTTTTTTAATTTTTTATTAAATAACCCAAACGAACATATTTCATAAAAATTAGCACTTTTATTATATGTTTTTTAAAGACAATACTTCTCTGCTCACCAATGAATAGGAGTTCCATACTTACCACGTTTGTGACCCAAGGCTAAATTGACACATCCTCATAATTTAAATAAATAAAAAATAAAAAATTTTGTAGAATATCTTGTTAAACCTGATAACGAATCGGATCTAAATTCAAACCCTAATCGGATCTAAAAAAAACATAAAACGTACCTCTGGCTTATGGATTTGTCTGGATGGAGCTAGTAAGTTGCAGATGGTGAGAGAGAGAGAGAATGACAGACTAAAAGAAAGCAGAGACTGGAGGTTTGAAGTTTGAGAGAGACGTAGAGATGCAAATTCAGATGTTAGAGACAGAAAAGCCTAATGAGAAATATTGATTAGAAGCGACAAAGAAAAGAAAAGGACTGCCATTTCATTAATGACTTTAATGTTTGTTCAATTCTAATGGTACATTAAAGACTCTATGTGTGGTCAATAATGAAACATTTAAAAAGCTGTATTTGCATTTTACAGGGGATAGTTTACAATAACAGGATATAGTTTCCAAGAGAGAAACAAAGTGTACACAAACCAGAGAGGATGAGTGATGGAAGCAGTAGTAAAGTAGACAGACCCAAGAGAAATAAAATAGATCAACATAAAGTGAAGAAGATTCAGTAGATGGATGAGACTGTGAGAGAAGGATAAAACAAAGATTGAGGGATTGCAAATAAAGAGAGAAAAGAGTAGATGCAAAACAAAAGGACAATACTAAGCAAAAAAAAAAAAAAAGCACAGAAATAGATATACAGAAAGCTAGCTATGAGTACTGTTGAAGAAATTAAAGAGAGAAAATTTAAGAAGTACCTCTTCTAGCTGATGCAGCTGAAGGATCTAGTAAGTGAATTTTCTCAATTCCCCAACACACCAAGTCTGATTCAAATTGACCCAAAAAAGAGAAACTGAGGGATCAATTGCAGATGGAGAGATAGAGAGAGTAGAGATTGAGGAATTGCAGATTCAGATGCAAGAGTGAATGGCATATTCAAAAGTAAACCAGACAAAAGAAAAAACAGGAGAGAATAATTAAATAAAGAAAAACAAAGACCACTTTCAAGTCATTAAATAATTAAAAAATACTCTGCTGATGAGGCATTCATATTTAAAAATTATTGCAAGAGTGTTAAATGGTTGGATTTTGTGAGTAGGCGAAGAATCTTCCAGACCCTCTCTTTTAAAATTAGATTAGGTGCAACAACTATTGAATGTTATTTATCCTTTCAATCCCCAGTTTTAAAAATTATTTTATGGCCGTCTCAAATTATTTTATTTATCCTCTCAAGTTGAGCTAAACAAATTTGTGTGAGAGTAAATTTTACCTTAAAAATTCGATGTGGGAAAGTCCTATAATGAAACCAGTAGGATATAATTAAGAGAAAAAGAAAATCAGAATCCTCGTATAGTTGTAGATACTGAATAATTACTTTGCATTACCAGCTATTAAAAGAAGAAGAAGAAAATGTTATGATCTGTGGATGTAAAATGAGAAGTTACCAGCAACAAAAGAAAAAATAAAAACTATCTGCATAATGAAGAAAATAGCTTGATTGGTGAACATAAACAAAAAGTTGGAAAGGACAAAATAAAAATTTACGTGCTTTTTCGTGTGGTCCGCCTATGGATTATTAAAAGAGGGTGAATTTAGGGGTGACAAAATTTGACACGACTCGCCAACATAATTCGAACACAGCACGAGTTAAACGGGTTTGGATCATAAACGGATCGACACGATTAACCAAACGGGTTAATCGTGTCGTATTTGGATTGAGGAGTTCAACCCGTTTAACTATATGTATCATAAGTAAATTTATATTTAAGTTCCAAAATAACTATCTAAACTTGTATCTTATAATTTATTCTTTTGTAAATTAGAGATTATTTAGTAATTTGGTTGAATTGAAACTTATAATTTTCTAGTATTTAATGATTGATCGAGTATTATTAATAGTTTAACTAGTAAAATATTTGATTTTATTAAACATGCTATTAAACGGGTTACACGTGTAACCCGTTTAATATACAGGTGTGGTTAGTGTTGGGTTCCTAACCCGATTATTAAATGGGTCGTGTTTGGGTTGAACTGTTTAGTAGAATACTTTTAGATCGACACGACATGATTTTAACTTGCGAATATGAATTGCCACCCCTAGGAAAACTACATTAAACCCTCTTTTCTATCTGCGTTTTGCACTAAACTCTCCTTTTCTATTTTTTTACTAAAAAATTTCATTAACTATCCGAGGGGGGTAATTTAATTGATGGAAGTTAGCTGAAAGGGAACTAAAATAGAAATTGACTTAAATACTCATTAGGCCTTTTTGAAAATATACTTTGTGGGTGCGTCTTATTTTTTTTTATTTATAACTTGAACCCCTAACTTTCCTTTAGAAAGTAAGGGTCCGATACCGCTAGGCTATTAGCCATTGGTATTTTTAAATTTTTTTATTAAATAACCTAAATGACATATTTCATAAAAATTAACACTTTTATTATATATGTTTTAAGGACAATACTTGTCTATATGAGTAGGAATTTCGTACTTACCACGTATGTGACGCAAGGTTAAATTGACACATCCTCATTAAATAAATAAAAAATAAAAGATTTTTTAGAATATCCGGGTTAAACATGATAACGAATCGGATCTAAATTGAAACCTTAATCTGAATCTCTGCCTCTTTCATATCTCTTTGTACTCTTTAAGAATTTAACGGAAGACAGACTTGCAAATCGCTCTCCCTCACCATCAACCATCTCTTTTTTTCTCCATCACTATAGATACCTATAGAGGTGTCGGTCGATGTTTTGAGTTAGCCATGGTGTTGTACATAGCACGGTTATAATAGGGTATTTTCCCTTTCATTTAATTAAGAAATAAATTTGCAGCGTCAACGTGGGATTGTAAAAGAACATTCAAAGACTTTTCGTCACATTTCGACCCAAATTCATCCAATGTCCAAAGAATTTGATTGCTTTGGACACTTACTAGCTCCAATAAAGCTGTTCATAACTATTCCTTTCATCCTCATATCATGCTATGTAATGAATTTGCCTAATGCTTCAAGCTGTCCTATTGATTGATGATTATGTGGTAATTAACAGTGTTCCAGGATTTCCAGTTGTTAGATCGCCCACTTGAAGAACATAACCATTGCATCGCTTCACGTCCTAAATTCCCTCTGTCAACTATTTTGGCCACCACATCTTTGTTTGAAGTCCATACGCTGATGGAGAAAATTTGAGAGGGATTTGCAAGTAGTGAGTGTATAGAGAGGGGAAGAATCAAATTGGTGTTTCAATTTGTGTAGGATTTTTTATTGGGTTTAACTCGGATGTCCTTTGGATCTTTTATTTTTTATTTATTTAAATATTAAGTACATTTGTCAATTTAGCCATGCACCACATACATGGTAAGTATGGACTTTCTATTCACCGGCAGGCATATATTGTCATTTTTTTATAGACAATACTTGCATACTCACTGGTGAGCAAGTTAATTCTACTAACCGATTTTGTGTTCCAATAATAAGTGGACACATCAGTGTTAATGACAAATTCAAAAAAAGTAATAAAAAAAGGAGAGAATTTCAATTGGGTAACTGACAGCTTGCATTCAAACCCTTTGTTTTTTTTTTTTTTTTCTCTCTCTTTCACCCCCTCCCAGTTTCTCCACTGTTCTTCTTCCTCTCACAGGACATCATCAATCAATAGGACTCGTATTGTTAATTCTCTTCCTAGTGCATCTTCAATGGGTTTGTAGATGTACCTCAATTGGATTATATAATTTTTGTTATTTATAAAATATAATGTGATATATAAAATATTTTTTCCCAGTAAATAAATAAAGAAATTTTTTTTGGGAAATTAATCAACCAACTTTTTTTTACTAAGATTGTTGTAGCAGAAACTTAAGAAACTCTGTTTGCTATTACATCAGTTGCAGTCTTGATCTCAAACATACATATTCCACGGTACATGGCCTACATACAACCAATTCGTACTAGAAAGCATATATAATCAGGATAATATTGATCAAATATGATCAGAAGTTCAACTTCTTAGAAAGTTGTGAGAAAAAGTGGGAAAAGTAACACCACGGCCCACCCTTGCCTATTGAGTGATATGAAGCCCGAGATAATTTGCAAA